ATATATAGACTAATTAGTTAAAATAATAATATGAAAATCAGAAATTCCATGCATAATAAAAAATAAAAATAAAAAGAGATTAAATTTTTTTTCCAACATTTGAATTTGCGATGTAGATTTAATACTAGTTTTGGTGTGGGCGATGCTCAGAATAAATTCAACACTCACATTTCAAATGTTAGGCGATTTTCTGGTTTATTTGTCTATTTATTTATTTTTGTGTGGTCTAACATATAATTTTTTTAAAGAGAAGTACCAAAAGTCATGACATAAAATTGATTGTTAACTATTCCTATATTAAATGTAAAGGAAAGATCATGCTACTTTTCATTATTCTGTTTTTATTTTAAATTAAATTTACTTAATTTGATATTCAATTTCAAATTGTCTTGGTAAAATTTTCATGAAAATTGTGACATTCAGCTGTCAATGGTGAAGGATTCTTTGCTGATGGCATTTCATTCCAAAGTTGATTGATATAATCAATTTACAATGCCGGCTATTCTTTTCACTGCTGGAAAAATAACTTTTAGCGGCGTTGCAAAAATGCCGTTATATGTCTGAAAAACGCCGTTAATTCCTTTAGTGACGCTTACTACTAAACGCCGAGGACGCGGCCGTCGCTGTAAGTTTACGACGCTTTAAAAGCGTCGTAAAATTATTATAGGCGGCGTTTATAAAAACGCCGCTAAATGCGCCAGTCAACGGTAACATGACGTCACATAAGCATTTAGCGACGCTTCAAAAACGTCGTAATAGCTTTTTTGTTATTTTAAAAATATAACTATAATAGCGTTTTGAAAAACGCCGCAATAGATTTTTTTTTTTTTTTTGAACTACTAATTTTGTGAGATTTAACTTCAAAAATATACCTGTAAAATAGCAATAATGAATAAAACTTTGTATAGACATATATTTATGTGAGATTAATATTCCCTCACATCTATAATAGTACCCCATACAACATCCTTCAAGAAAAAAATCCAATAAGTTCAATCCTAAAAAATAAAATGAGAATAATTTAAAGATAATACACATCAAATATCACCCTTCCTACATAAAGCAAGAACCACCATACTGCTAGAAATTTATTTTTTCACCCCAAGTCATGCACCTATACCACCGCTTCTGAAGCATTTGGAATCTCCGCCATAATCATGTGCGCATTTAAAAGACCAGCATGACCTTTTGTACAGCCAACCTGCTCACAGAGAGAGAGAGAGAGAGAGAGGATGAACTTATACTAATGGTAAAACTAGGAGGTTCAATCATGGTAAATCAACAATAAAATTCTGCTCTCAAAGAGTTTATCTTGCAAAGTATTTTAAGCAAAAAATAATAATTTAATTCTGAAACTAGTTTACTCAAATTGCATTCAATATGCCAGTATCACTTGTGTTCAACTTAAAATCTCAACAACCTGTAGCAGTATTACATTTCATCGTACTAGAAGGTGAGGCACACACTGTGTGCCAAATTAACAAAATATAATATATATATATATATATATATATAAAGTAGTTGTAACTATTTGTAAGTGGAAAGTCAGGTTTTACTTTTGGAAAATAAAAGTCCACAAAACTTCATGAACACCAAATTGGGTGCTCCCTCTATATATATATATATATATATATAGCTAACATTTGTTTCTATTTCAACAAGGTACTGCTAAGGACAAAAAAGATATGATGGGACTTAAGTCTTAGTTTGGTTTGGTTTGGTTTATATAAATACTTTACATGGAAGAATTTCTTACTTCACATGGCGACTGCGTTGTCACTTCTTTTAAGGTACTGCTCATATAAGGAATGATACTTTGCAGGGATATAATCCTTGAATCTGTCAACAATGACAACAAAAAGATTGAGATCCAGGAATGCTAAGGCAAGCAGATAAAAGACTTTCCACAAAAAATCAAATTGATTAAACATCCATTTTTTGTAATATAAATTTGATTTAAACATATAATTATCAATATTTGATTATTTTAATTTTTGTATAAATATTCTACTCAACGAAATCGATTCCAAAACGAACCTATCAAATCTAAACATTCTCATTTGAAATGACCAACATGAGAAAAATTTAATCTTTTCTTTTTTGGTGAAAACTTTTTCCTTCAAATATTACCAACATCGCCACATTATCCCACCACCACCACCACGCCCTTACCATCACTACTACAATTACCAACACATTAGTTACAAGGTGATAATCAATCATATCAAAATATTTTTTGAAAGTTTTTCTCTGAGGCAAATATAAAGTTGTGAAAAATTTACTCCACACCCTCATTTTTTTTTTTTGGTAAAAAAAATCCTATCCGCCTAAAAGGAAAATGATTTATTGTTGATGGTTTCCTTATTTTTTTTAGTGATGCTGGAAAAATTGGCTACACATATTGTCATCTTCAGTCCTGTGACAAGAGAAGCAGTCATCTTTGTAAAATGGTTTTCATTCTGCCATCATTTGTGTCTCCCTTTCCCCAATTCTTAGGATCATGCATATACTCAACAATCGGCACAGGTGGTTTTGTCGATGACATAACAATCAGCATTTCTATCCAACAAATATCAGTCTTTGATTGGTAGCCTCTACCACTGAACCGTGCGTAAGAAAGTGAAAGAAAAATGAGCATTTGTCTTAAGACATAAACTAGTGTCGTACAGGCTGCGTGAGCATGCATTTCATGTATTTGTGTGTGTGCGCATGTGTGTGTGTATGTGTGTGTGTGTGTGTGTGTGTGAGAGAGAGAGAGAGAGAGAGAGAGGTACCAGTAATTTACAATCATCATTCTTAACACAATTTATGAAAAGCGGTAGCATATTCAGGAATGTAATTCACCACTATCAGAAACAACAACTTCGTTTCTGGGATCCCCACTCTGTCTGCCCTCAGCTTCAATCTTGGAGACAACATACATCCCAGAAAGCACTTTCCCAAACACAACATGATGCCCATCCAACCTGTACCCAAAATAAATAAAAATAAAAAACTGAAATTCAATGCAGTAGTTAAAAAATCTGTCAGGCCACAAACTATAGACTTTAGTACCAGTAAATGCGTTATATTGATCAACCAGTAGTGCAGAATCTACACACTGTACCCTTGTTTATGAACATACTACCTATCCAGCCTACTTGCTGGTGTTTTCAATGAAATATTTTCCCATTAGCCATAAGTATTTATTTGACTGTACCGATGGCAAACCAAAAATTATTTCACAAAGATCCTACCCATACACTAGCTTGCAACTTGAGGATGGCAAACACCATCCGGTACTAACTAGCTTGCTCGAGGATGGCGAACACCATCAGGACTAAGGGCATTAATGGGGCTGGGTTGGGGCCTATGCTAGAAAAAACAGAGAAATCTTGTGACCAAGTCCGATCTGGCCAAACTACGGTCATAAAAATCTATCTCAAGCTTGGTTCTAAAATTTCATTCCAATCCCAAGCCCACCTAATAAAACCCATATATTAAACAAAAAATCAATAATGTCGTAATTAAGTTGCCACAAACATTTAGATTTTGTTCATTATATCCTGAGTTCAACGCTTGATGAGTGTTTAGTGTATTTTCTAACTTTAAACAAAAATAAAACTTAATAAATTGTATATAAGATTTATATAATATATAATTTATAAAAATATATATTGATAATCAGGCTGGCTCAAGAACTATTCCCAAGTGCAACCCATTTAATAAATGGGCTTAAAAAGTTCAGGCCAGCCTGGCCCAATAAGCCTAATTATCAATTCAAAGCCCTTAAAAATGTGGGCTAGATTAGGCAAGCCACCAAAACAGTGCCACCCCTATGCAGGATGTGTATTTCTCTAGTAAATGCTGGAAAAGTTCCTATAGAGAGGAGTACATAGTTAATTACCAGCTAGTTGTCACAGTAGTAATGAAGAATTGTGATCCGTTGGTGTTTGCTCCTCCATTTGCCATGGATATTACTCCTGTCTGCAAATCACAAGTTCAAAATGAAACTGTGACATATATGACTGGGATAGAGAGAAAAACAATTAGCAGCCAATTATCAAAATATGAACTGAACAAATGTAAATATGTAAACAAAGTTCCAACGTAATTCTGGTGAGTAGTTTTAACATCAAATTGTGGGCCTCATCCTCTGGCAAAGTTACTGCTTCCAATGCATCAAGGCTTGTGGGCAATTATCACTAGATGACACAAAATTCCCCCCCTCCCCCTTTCTTGAGCCATACAGTAGTGCACATCTAAACAGTAAGCACAAGTCCAAACAAAAGCTATTTTACAGTTTGGGTAACGCCGTTATACCAGAGTTATATTACAAAGCACCACTTGCTTTCAAAATCTGGCAACTTTAAATCACAAAGCTCCAAAATTACCAAAATCCATTTATTTTAATTTTTCATATATCCGATTATTTAATATCATTTTTATATTTTGTGTCAAATCTTTCAATTCTCATTTCAATTTGATTCACAATTAGCAAAATTAATATTTTGATTCACAATATGATTTTATCAACTATACACTTCACTACAAATTTTTTGGTTTTCAATAGGCAGGTCAGACAACTGAAATGATTGGACATTTCAAATAGTGCAGATAAAATAATTCCACATTTTAGTGCATTGTTGGATGTTCAAGGCAAAAATATTATTCAAGCTTCTAATACACCCATACAATTTATGTGTGAATTATGAAAGAGCATTGTAAATCTAACCAATCAAAAGCTATGACCTGACCTTAGAAACTAAAGACCCCAGACATCACTAACATAACTCATTTAAATGTTCCGCTTATACACTGGAACAACACCTCCTTGGGAAAATAACATTTAAATGAATTTTAGAGATCGATGTGAAAACCAGGACATCCTAGCTAGACAGAGCATAAAACAATATAACAAAATAAGATTGAGGAACAACAAATCTGTATTGATGCAATTCAAATTCTAGCTGTCAATCCATAATTAGTACTTTTCTACATCTGAATTGACAAACTCAGAACTAGATAAATGATAAATACATACCATTTGGTATATCCTTAAGCTGTGTGCCTTGACCCTGCATATTTACAAAACACAATGTGAGAAAATTCACAATTACTAAGGAGAAAAAAAAAGTATAGCATAAATTTACTGTCAACACCTTCTCAATGGACAATGCTTTGCTTGCACTTCTCCCAGTCGAAGGCTCCGAATACCGCTCAACAGTCTTCCTCTCCCTGATCGGCCTCTCAATTGGCGTAACAGGCTCTTTTGAGCCAGGCTCACTCTTCGCCGCCTTCTCATCTTTTGCAGCTTTCTTCGAACTAGCCTTTCGGCCTCTCTTCGCCTTCTTGCTTACCTCCTCTGCTTCCTCCTTACTCTCTTCACCTGTCACCTCAGGTTCTTCCTTCTCCGCCATTTCCGTATCCTCTTCTTTCTTTTCCACTTCCTTCTCTTCTTCACCCTCCTCTGTTTTCCCTTCTTCTTTCACTTCACCTTTGTCTTCAACGTTAGCTATTTCTTCTTGTTTCTTGTCTTCTAGGGTTTCAGACGCCATCGAAATGAACTTCCAGAAAAGAGAGAGAGAGAGAGAGAGGGTGTGCTGTATGTATATGTATATAGAGAGATCAAAAAAGAACCTAACAAATCAATTCAACAATTCAACAAATATCGATGTATACAAATGTTATACATGCAGTAAAATTCGAAAGAAATAGAGAGAGAGAGAGTATCGATTAAAGTTCAGTAAATGAGGATCAAGTCAGAATGCCTTTATCTGAATCTCTGCAAATGAGGTTCAAGTAAGAATGCCTTCAAAACATTGATTTCATAGATCTAGAGAGAGAGAGAGAGAGAGAGAGAGAGACGGTGGAGCTCGCTACCTCGCCGGTGCAGATGACGGTGGCGATGGAGCTTCGAAATCGCTCTGAATCTCGAAATCGATCTGAATCTTCGAAATTGCTTCGAAATCGCTCTGAATCTTCGAAATCGCAGGTGCAGCTGGAGCTTCGATGAAGAAATGTGTGCGTATAAGGATTGAGAGAGAGAGAAAGATGTGTGCGTATTCAAGCTTCAAGAACAGCCGATTGATCTCCTCCGTCTTCTTCGTCGCTGAGAGAGAGAGAGAGATGTGCGCGAAATTGCTATTACACTTTGCACTCAGATTAAAAAATAAGGGTTTCATAAAGGGGCGCGTGTAGCTACAGCATTCGGAGGCGCTTTTAAACGCCTTCAATTAGAAACGGTGCCGTTTTGGTTTAAAAAAATATGCGACGGTTACAAAACGCCGTTAAAAATTAACAAACGTGACGTTTAATAAAACGCCGTTAATTAAACGCCGTTAATTGTCTTATTTCCTGTAGTGTGGGCAATAAGTCCACCTATTGAAACATGCAATCGCCCTTAATTTTTTAAAAACACTTTTTTCAAGCAAGTCTCATAGCCATGCCCTAGTGACGCAAAAATATGGAAGCAATATTTAGGTGCTTGTGAGGAAAATGTTGGGATACTACAATATTTAAGAATTTTAGGGATCAAACTCTTTAAAAGTAAAAATTTTATTGTAAAAAAAATTAAAAGATTATTTCATGTTGTCACCCATCTCAAAAAGTCACATAAAGGGACATTTTTTTACAATAAAATTATGAAAATGTCACTAAAAGAATATTCGTTACTAAGTGTTCAATGTCATTGATAAAAATACAATAAAAGGACACTTTTAGTAACAACGATACTTCCTTCTTAAAATGTGATTTTTTTCTTTAAGTTTTTATCACTAAAACTTTGATTTATTATAAATCCTAAATAATAAAATAAAATAAAAATTCTCGTAAATGTAAATGTAAAAAATTTAGGTCTATTTTTTTTATGGCCTTTGTTTGAAAAAAAGAAAAAAAGAAGAAGATGACGGTCTATTTTTAAAAACATATTTAGCATCTATTTTTTCATGTAATAAAGTGAAAATGTTACAATTATCAAATTGATCTAAATTTTTACATAGATAATATATACGGCGGATGAATAATTTAAATCATTAAAACGGAATCCATAATAAACCCTATAGGCCTAAATAATTTATTCAAAAATTGAACTTCGGAGATATTTAATCCTTTTTTAATAATATTTTATATATTGTGTTCTATTTGGGCATTATAATAGTTTCATGAATCCCACCACTTTATTTCTTCTTGAGAGAGAGAGAGAGAGATGTGCGCGAAATTGTATTACACTTCGCACTCAGATTAAAAAATAAGGGTTTCATAAAGGGGCGCGTGTAGCTACAGCATTCGGAGGCGCTTTTAAGCGCCTTCAATTGGAAACGGTGCCGTTTTGGTTTTAAAAAATATGCGACGGTTACAAAACGCCGTTAAAAATTAGCAAACATGACGTTTAATAAAACGCCGTTAATTGTCTTATTTCCTGTAGTGTTTTGAACAAATTAAATATCTTTTTTTAATAAAGTCTAGAGTTCTTCATTGTCAATTTAAAGTTTCCATCATTATGAAAGATAAATTCCTGAATTAATTCAATTTTTTTATTTATAGTATGAAAATTCAACCTTTGTAGAAGCATACATTACAACATATAAGAGTTTTAGAGACCAAATTTTTTAGTCTCTAAAAGTGAAAATTTTGTTCCAAAAAATATTTAGGGACCAATTTCTATCGTCGTGAGAATAGTCGCTAAAATGTCGTCTTGAAAAGTCAAAAACAAGGCTTTTAGCAACAAAATTTTGAAAATACCACTAATAAATAGACTTTTAGGGACAAAATAATTTGGTCTCAAAATGATTTATTTTTTGAGACAAAAAATTTGGTCCCAAAAGGATAATAATTCATGACTAATGTTTAATTTCCGTTGCTAAAAATATAATAACAATACTTTTTACAACAAAAATATTTAGGCGGTAAAAAATAATTTTGTCCTTAAGTTTTATTTCTAACATTTTAATTTTTTGTAGTGATAAGCTTTTATTAGCTTAATTTGAAAGGACAATTAGAGATCACAACATTACTAAACCATGGAGTAAACAATTACTAATTATTGATAACATATTTTATTTGCAGCGGTTTTCGGTGGAGGATTCATTGCTCGTGATATAACATTCCGTAACACAGCTGGGCCACAAAATCACCAAGCTGTAGCACTTAGATCTAGCTTTGATCTCTCCGTTTTCTACTGTTGTGGTTTTGAAGGATACCAAGATACACTCTACGTTCATTCTCAACAATAATTTTACAAAGAATGTGATATTTATGGCACGATAGATTTCATATTTGGAAATGCAGCAGTAATTCTCCAAAATTGCATGATATATGCCAAAAAACCAATGAGTGGGCAACAAAATACTGTAACAACACAAGGGTGAACTGACCCTAACCAAAATACTAGTATTTCAATTTATAATTCTCAAGTCGTGGCTTCATCTGACCTAAAATCGGTACTTAGCTCATTCAAGACATATCTAGGAAGGCCTTGGATGGAATATTTGTGCACTGTTTATCCACAAACTTACCTTGATACCTTGGTTGATCCAGCAGGCTGGTTAGAATGGGATGGTAACTTTGCTCTAAATACTCTGTATTATGGAGAATATAAAAACTCCAGCCCTAGTTCTTCGACTAGTGGAAGAATAAAGTGGGGTGGTTATCGAGTGATATCTAGCACAACTGAAGCATCACAGTTTAGCGTTACAAATTTTATAACTAGTCAGTCATGGTTGCCTTCTACCATTGTGCCATTTACTCCTGACCTCTAATTATGTTGTATTTGATCAATTCATATGTTTGTTATTGCTTTGTTATTTGGTTTTTCCATACTATACACAACATAGGGTATTGAACAAAGTGTATTTTTAAGATCTCAATAAAGAATAAAATGAAATTTTTTTGTTTCATTCAATGCAATACAACATTTTCTTGTGACTACTTTCTCTCTATCTTATCGCTGATAATAGAATTTCAACTCTTGAAGCCTATTATTGTTGTGAGAACTCTTAATTGGGTTGTCATTTTGAACCAGCCTCGTAGAAATGAACAGCTATATTTGTGCTTTAAGATAATATTATAATTGAAAAACCAACAAACTCATAAAATTGTCTTAGAAAGTGAAGTGTATGAGATACATTCAAATTTAATATGATATGAATTATATTCAAAATAAATTTGATCCATAAATTTAAATGTTTAGGCATTTATCTATAAATTTTAATTTTTTTTTTTATAATTTTTATTTTGAGTATGCAACAATAATTATAGTGCTCTCCTACTGGGCACGTAAGAGATTAAGAGTAGTCTTGGTTAGTGGCCGAAATTGATTCGCATGGGCAGCCCATTTATATTGTAATTGGTCCTGCAACAGGTTTGACCCATCGATGAGCCTTGAATATTATCTTCAAATTCAATAGTACATAACAAAATTTGAAAATATGATTCCAAAACTGCATATGGTTGTTTTTTCTTAAATACATAGTATATATATACATTCTACATGCTTGAATAATATTAAATCTTCAGCCAATATTATTTGTAGCACTCTCTCTCTCACTAGGTTTAAAAAAGTAAAAATAATAAAAATCCTGTGATAAATGGCTGCAAGTATTTGTATCACTTTTAGAGCATCAGCATGATCAAATTTTGTGTTAAATTATAATCTAAAAATTATTTTCTGTTTTATATAGCAATCTTCTTAAATATACTAGAAAAATGCTTGGGAGCACTAATTAGTGCTCCCACTAATTAGGTGGCAGTGGGTCCCGTCATTAATGATGTGATGTTTTGGTCTTGGAGTTGTATTTTTTTTTTTTTTACTTTTTTAATGCATTAGTGCTATTAGTGTTGATGTTTTTAGTGGGATGAATCATTGTTGAATATACTATCCATTAGAGTCTCCATTTTACTCTATTTTATTAAAAATTCTTTTTTGACCCATTGTCTTAATGAACATAAATAATGAAAAGTCAAAATAGCGAGATCAAATTTATGAAAAAATAATAAACTAATTTTTTTTTTCTGTTGCTAGATCGAGGGAAAAATAATAGACTATTAAGTAGTCAATAAACTATATCTCAATAAATTTATTATGAACAATAATAAACAAGGTTTGGATTCTCTCCAGTTGTCCGTCCAACTAGGGAGACACTATTGGACTTGATAGGCTCACTTTAGTGTTTTGAACCTTTTATATTTTATAATTCGTTGAGTAGAGTATTTATGTAAAAAATCAAAATGATCGAATATTAGTAATTACATTATCAAATCACATTTGTATTAAAAAAAATTTATAAATGATCTTTTCTCAAAATTATAATTGTTGTCCATTCTTGTACGCGGTGTCTGGTTGGAGGATTTTGGAAGTGATTTGGGCTGGGCCGGGAAAGAGAAAAGGTAGGTAAAATGAGAATAAAATATACCAACATTTCATCTAATTTGACACACCTTTTCCCTTTCCATTTCCAAATTCCTTCTCAAATCTCCCAACCAAACACAACATTAGTTTAAATATGATCTGAATATAGAGTTACCAATATCTTATCACCGAGAGGGGCTGCAATGTGTG